GGCAAAACATTGCCATTATGCAGTAAAACAGCTTTAAGACTCGTCTTCGATGAATCAATGAACAGTCTCCACTCATCTGGATCGTGAACGATGTTGAGGGCTGCCATCACACCATCGATGTTGTTGCAGGCTACAAGATCACCTTCCATGAAGAAGAATGGGACAAGATCCTTTTGACGGTCACGGAACATGGAAACCCTAACATCACCTGCCAGGAGATTCCACTGCTGTAGTCTGGAGCCCAACAGCTCTGCCTTACTCTTGCGTAGTTCCAAATCCCTGACAAGGTCATTCCGTTCACCTTGTGTTATGAGGCGTGGTTCAGAGGAGGAGGATGGGAGAAAATGTGGGTCCTGTGACATTGATGGTTCAGGACCAGAAGTTTCATCCTCTTCCTCATCTGACTCAAGTGAGAATGATTCTGGTGCATCAGGAACCGGCAGTCCTTCTCCGTGGGGTACTGGGCGTATAGCTGATGGAATGTTTGGATAATGCACAGTCCACTTTTTCTTCTTTGACTCACCTTTCCCAACTGGAGGCACCATGCAGAAGTAACAATTGCTGGTATGATCTGTTGGCTCTCTCCAAATCATTGGCACTGCAAAAGGCATAGATTTCCTTTTCCTGTTCAACCACTGGCGAAGATTTGTTGCACAAGTGTTGCAGCATATGTGTGGGGCCCACCTCTTGTCCTGATCTCCAATTTTGCAGCCAAAATAAAGGTGATAGGCTCTCTTAACCATAGTGGTTATACTGCGCTTTTGTGATGCAAAAGTCACTTCACCACAAACATAGAAGTTATCTGCACTGTTCACACAAGTACGAGGCATCTCTGCTCACTTTGGCTAAACAGAAATGTGTCCCTTTGCAAAATCAAACACTGACAAATAAGAGAGCACGACACTATGATTTCTAGAGCTGATACAGGGCAATTTGTTCAGCAGAGTGATGTAAGCTTCGTTATGATTGCATCATCCATGACTTCTAGGAATAACATGATGCAATTCATATCATGTATGACGCAATACCAGCTTCAGATTGCATCATTCATTGTTTTGCCTAAAAAGCAAGTACTGTCCAAACCCAGTCATAGATTTATTCATAGATCCAGTCAAAGATGTATTTTAGTCATTTCTGGTTTAAATTGAGATCCCTTCCCTTTATAACTCACTTATCCTCCGCTATTCCCAAGTCAAGGGTCGTATATACTGACCCAATAGCATATCTTGAAAACTCGAACCAATCAACAATTTTAAGCATCATTTTCATTCTCAGTGACCCAGAATTAGTAAAGTTTGACTACATTTATTTCAGAAGCATTATGGCTGTAGAGCAGTGTTATCAGAGCAGCTGAAAGGGTAAGGAACCCGGGACTATAACTTAGAGACAGCTTCCATATTATTTAACTCATAATTGATATAATTCAAAGTAAAATTTCACAGTGCAGTCTGTTCTAAGACTTAAAATGCAGGATGGGAGTCAGAAAAAGAACAGTGACCTGTTTCCGCCCGGTTTTGAACCGGGGACGTTTCGCATGTCAGGTGAATGTGATAACCACTACACTATGGGGCTTCTCTTTTTTTGCCACAGACTTTGCCGAATGCACAGGAATGTTTTCTCTAGCTACAGAAGCTACCTAATGCAATGCCTATATCTATGGCCTTCCTGCTCACAAAGCAGTCATGCCCCCGCCCAAGGCTGACACAGTGCAGAGTGCATGTGACACAGCGACCTGGCTCGGGCAGGATCGCTAGCAAGGCATGATACTTTTGACGTTAAGCAAACACAGCAATTCTTTCCTGGCCTCTGCCAGTGAATGCCTCCATGCATTACGCTGTGCCCTATCAGTGCGGGAGGACTGCATGAGCTTGGAAAACATGTCATTGCGAGTGCGGGTTTTTTTGCCTTCTAATCTGCGATAACCTCAGGGACGGAGATGATAGGGGGAGCGTAGAAACATTCTGGGGGTACTGCATGCTGAGTTCGCCATGCTGGCCAAACAGGAAATGAAATTCAAAAGTTCCTGGGGCTTTTCCTGTGTACCTGGCTAGTGCATCTGAGTTCAAAGTGCTGTCCAGAGCAGTCACAATGGAGCACTCTGGGATAGCTCCTGGAGGCCAATACCGTCGAATTGCGTCCACAACTACCCCAAATTCGACCCGGCGGGTTGATTTCAGTGCTAATCCCCTCGTCGGGGAGGAATACAGAAATCGATTTTAAGAGCCCTTTGAGTTGACAAAAATGGCTTAGTTGAGTGGACGGGTGCAGGGTTAAATCGATCTAACGCTGCTAAATTCGACCTAAACTCGTAGTGTAGACCAGGGCTAAGAGACCTCTGTGTAAGAGGCCTACAGCTTGGAATATGGAGCTACAGTATACACATCCACTCAGATTGATGATCCCCCGACAGAACCATACATTACCCTAACTTGCATCCAGAAAACCTCTCCATGCCTATTCAGTAGCAACTGTTACTTGCCTAAACTAAATCTCTTCTGCCACCTGCTGCTCAAGATGTCACCCTAACAAACAAGTACAAGGAAAGAAAAAAGACCACCACCAAGGAAAGTAGTGCATACTCATTCTATTGACTGATCTTGCATAGCTTCTCTTGGCAGCTGTTTATAATGGGGGAGTGAATCTTTCTACTAAGAAAACACATTCCAAAAGCCCCTCAAAACAACCAACAGAAGATAAAATCGTTTTAAAGCTTTTTGGAGCTCCTTTACTCAGGAGTTTGCTTTTGCAATTGGTCCATACATGGATCACTCGTGGTATTCTGAAAACAATAATGAAAAGGATATTAATGAGATTTTTGTGTGCAATGAGTTTCATAAGGAATTATTATGACCTCAAGGTGAAATTTTGGGGGAGGGGAGACAGGACAGGGAGAAAGACATTTGTTAACATTTAATTTGGTCACTTTTAGTAGTATTCAAATGTAGAAAAATAGGTTCTTTTGAACAGTTAAGAAATTTCAAACACTTCTTTTGCACTTGGATAATTTAAATGCTTCTTTTTAAAACTTCAGACTTGCCTAAGACTTTGTCCCCGATGACAACACGTACCTCTGACATGTTAAGAAACTATTTTACAAATAAGGTGAGAGTGTTCTTCCTAGGGAGGGAGTCTTCTGATATTTGAATCAATCATTCTGTTTTGTTACATTAATAGTTTATACAGTGGAAACGGCAATAGGATATGGACATTTTCAGCAGCAGGTCATGGTTCAAGAACAGCCAATGTCAGCAGTGGCTGGAAGATTTTACTATATGATGGCTGACAGCTCATGTCACACGGATTGGGTAGACTCAAACCATTTCCTAAGGGGCAGGCGTCTACAACACAAATCCCATCATGACAAGTGCCTAACTGACCTCTTTATTAGCCATCTTAGCAGAGACACAAAGGACTAAATGGACAGTGAAAATTTAAATGCTTCTCAAGACTAGAAGTGGTTGCTTCAGAACAGACCTGACGTACATTGCTGGTAAAGTGGAGGGAAGCTTACACTGCCTCTGCCCATGCTGAATCTGGCCTGTGGACAGAAGACTCCAGCCTTTAGGACTGTCAGTCCAGTATCTTTCACCAGCATTGTGCAAAAGCAGGGACAGGGCCCACTCATCCTGTTCTTAGAGTTAATCCCTTCTGAACAATTGAGACTTTAAGAACTGAGGTTCTACACAGACATTAAAGATCTTACTGTACTTTATATAAGAGTAGGAATTTGTCCCAGTGTCAAACCCAATTTAGGGTGGGATTTTTCAAAGTGCTCAGGGTTGGCAAAACTGCTCCAACTGAAGTAAGGGGGAATTTTATTATTGTTTTCAATGGGAACAGAGTTAGGCCAACACAGAGTACATTTGGAAATCACACCCTTAATGCAATAATAATCTTTTGTACTAAGTTACATAACATATTTCATCCAAGGACCTCAAAGTGCTTTGGAAAAGTGGGTACTGTTATCATTTTACAGATAGCTTGACATGCAGAAAGGTTAAATGACTTACCGAGGTCACAGTACATTTCAGTGGCAGAGTGAAGAACAGAATCCAGCTCTCCCAGTCTCTTGCTTTAACCCAGGGGCGGGCAAACTATTTGGCCTGGGGGCCGCATCGGGTTTCGTAAATTGTATGGAGGGCCGGTTAGGGGAGAGGGTCATGGCCCGGCCCCCACCTCCTATCTGCCTCCCCCCCCCCCCCCCAGGCCTCCTGCCCCATCCCCCCCCCCCGTTCCCTGACGGCCCCCCCCGGGACCCCTGCCCCATCCAACCACCCCTTCTCCCTGTCCCCTGACTGCCCCCTGCCGCCCCATCCAACCCCCCCCCCCTCCTTCCTGACTCCTGGGACCCCTGCTCCCATTCAAACCCCTGTTCCCCCCCCCAACCCCTATCAACACCCCCGCCCCCTGGCTACCACCCCAAACTCCCCTGCCCTCTATCCAACACCCCCTGCTCCCTTACCGCGCTGCCTGGAGCACCGGTGGCTGGCGGCGCTACAGCCATGCCGCCTGGCTGGAGCCAGGCCATGTCGCCGTCACGCAGCTCAGAGCACTGGGTCAGGCCGGGCTCTGTAGCTGCGCTGCCCCAGGAGCTCACAGCCCCGCCGCCGAGAGCATTGCGCCGGCGGCGGAGCGAGTTGAGGCTGCGGGGGAGGAGGGACAGCAGGGGAGGGGCTGGGGGTGAGCCTCCCGGGCCCAGAGCTCAGGGGCCAAGCAGGACGGTCCGGCGGACCAGATGTGGCCCCCGGGCCGTAGTTTGCCCACCCCTGCTTTAACCATTAACCAATGCTCTCTACGAATTCCCCCCCTTTTAACCACATGGCTGTACACAGCATACATGACTCTTGCTTCCACTTAAGGGGTGTCATACATTTCAGCGCTGCTCTACATATGTAGTTTGAGAAGCATTTTGGAATCCTTCAGGATGAAAAGTATTAGACAAACCTGTATTAACTGGGCTTTTATAAAATGATTTTGTAAAAACAACATTAATACAATACCTGTCTCCTGCAGAGAGATCCTCAATGTTTCCAAAGCCAGGGGCTGGCATGGGACACCCCATGTGTGTGAACTTAGCTATGTGGGGTTCAGGAGCTGGCACTTTCCCATGAGATTTCTTATGATCCCTCTCACCAGCGACTCGGATGTTCTCCCTGTCACAGATGAAACACTCAAAGCCGTTCAGATAATTGGGCAAAGTCATGTCATTCACTCCCCATTCACGCCTCTCCATGTTCTCCAGCAGAAACTGGTTTGTAATGCCTCCCGGCTTCTTATACTCTAGGTATTTCAAATACTCCTCTCCATTCCTGTCCAGGAAGTCAAGGAACTGTGCTAGCTCTTGGGGGCTTCGGAAATCATCCACGAGGATGATGGAGAGTTCATCAGGCATCCAGTCCCGCACAGATGGGGAGCCTCGGTATACAGGGATGGCGCCCAAATGCATTGGACGCCACAGCTTCTCGGTCATGTAGTCATTGCATATGGCATTCTCCATCGCAAGATGAAACTTGTACCTGGAGATAAAGGTCATGAATTCAGAATCCTCTGTTGTGGCTGTAGAAGTGTCCCTCAGCCTCTCACTGGGAAGCTCTCGATTATTCAGGCATTTACCATAGGAGTCTACCTAAAATAGTAATAATCATCTTTACAAAAGTAATTTCTCTGTTTTAAACTTATTTTCAGTGGAGAGTTCCCTTCTCCCTTATTTTCAGTGGAGAGATTCCTTCTGACCAGTTCCTAAGAATCTGAACTTGGCCTCTCACTCCAACATCTTCCTTCTCAACAAGTGGAGTCAGCCAAAAAATTCTAACACATCTAATATTCATTGGAGAATATTTACATTTCAACCCTCCTTCCTCTTCCAAGCACTCAATTCCTTTCCCAACAGGTTAAGAGGAATTCCCCAAGTCAATTGCAGCTCCTTGTATCCAGCAGCAGAACTGTGCCCTAGATGTTAACCATAGCTGACAGACACAAGATGCAGCGCCTCATCCTCTTCCTCACCAACTCCTGTTCTACATTGCCCACTACATAAACATAGTGCCAGGTTTCAGAGGGGTAGTCGTTAGTCTGTATCAGCAAAAACAACGAGGAGTCCTTGTGGCACCTTAGAGACTAACACATTTATTTGGGCATAAGCTTTCGTGGGCTATAACCCACTTCATCAGATGCATGGAGAGGAAAATACAGCAGCCAGGTATAAATACACAGCACATGAAAAGTATCAACATTTTTGTAGTGACCCAGTCCCTCTCAGTCTTTATTCAGGCCTAATTTGATGGTGTCAAGTTTGCAAATTAATTCCAGTTCTACAGTTTCTCGTTGAAATCTGTTTTTGAAGGTTTTTTGTTGAAGAATTGCCACTTTTAAGCCTGTTATTGAGTGTCCAGGGAGACTGAAGTGCTCTCCTACTGGTTTTTGAATGTCACAGTTCTTGATGTCTGATTTGTGTCAATTTATTTGTTTGCCTAGAGACTGTCTGGTTTGTCCAATGTACATGGCAGAGGGGCATTGCTGGCACATGATGTCATATCACATTGGTAGATGTGCTGGGTCATTACAAAAAATAATTTTCCCTCTGTTGATACTCACATCTTCTTGTCAACTGTTGAGAATGGGCCACATCTACCATGGTTGAATTGGTCTCGTTAGCACTGACCCCCCACTTGGTAAGGCAACTGCCATCTTTTCATGTGCTGTGTATCTATACCTGCCTACTGTATTTTCCACTCCATGCATCTGATGAAGTAGGTTATAGCCCACGAAGGCTCTAAGGTGCCACAAGGACTCCTTGTTGTTTTTGCTGATACAGACTAACACGGCTATCCCTCTGAAACCTGTCACTATATTTATGTAGTGGACAATGCAGAACAATAGTTGATGAGGGAGGGGATGAGGCTCATTTTTTCTGTAATTTTCTCTTAAAATAATACTGACACAGCACTTCACAAATGCTGTACAGACATCAATTAATCCATATCAATCTGTAACCCACTAACCCCCCTTTTTTACCCTATGACTGCAGGGACGTTAACGGGGCACTCCACCTTGAAAGGTCCCTTAGAATATGTGCTAACTACATATGCTAAATAATCTGTTCCACCTTGTATTTAGCTGTGCCTGTGACACTAGTACCTTTCCCACACTTGCATCCGAAGAAGTGGGTTGTAGCCCACGAAAGCTTATGCTCTAATAAATTTGTTAGTCTCTAAGGTGCCACAAGTACTCCTGTTCTTTTTCCCACACTTGAAGATCTCTGTGTAGCTCGAAAGTGTGTCTATCTCATCAACAGAAGTTGGTCTCTAATCTTCTGGGACTGATACAGTTACAACACTGCATACAGCCTCAAAAACTGAGTTAAAAGCAGATCTTTGGTCTACAATACAAGATGTAACCCTGTCCGAACAGAGTTGTTAGTAATTCTATAATTGAACAAGTGCTGAACATTATTTCTCGTTTACAAGTACAGCTAAACTGTGTTCAGCTAACATGATTGCTAGCAAGAGTGTTCATACATTATTTAATCTCCTAGGGTAGCCCTGATTTTGACAATAAGACAAATAGTTATACCCTCAGGCTAGTCCTCATTCCCATTACAACCCAATTACCTTCCCATTAAAACCCAATTACCTCATCAGTATGAGGCCAGATATGGGATGCTCAAAACCAGGTAGACGAGAGCCGTTTTCATCAGCCTGAGGGTGTAGATTGCTCCTCCTCATGTCAACCAGGTTACTAACTCACCCTTACTCAGTCCCCACAGACAGTCATAGTTATCAGCCCCTCTTGGGTCTCCAGTTCTTGACTTGTCATGAAAGAGGTGCTGGAGCGCAAGCAATTTTTACACATTAGTTACTTGTGCAGCAAGCTCAGAGGTGCCAGGGCTATGAACGGCCAAGCCTAGAGATATCGGGGCTCAGCCCCGGCTCAAATTAAGCATAGCGTGTCTCCCCAACTCCTCTCTCTGCCTTCCCCCAGCAGCCCGAGCAGTTACCTGGATGTGCTTCATGAGCTCCCGCACGTATCTGTCCCTGTCGGAGGGGACATCGCAGTGGGACTGCATGTACAGCACCGGGGCATAGCCCTGCTTTCGCCACCGCTCCTTTTCCGCCAGCGGCAGGGCGGCCCGGCGCAGGTAGGCCAGGCTGGCCAGCCACTGCAGGGTCAGGGGATAGTCCGACTCCCTCCGGAAGGTGGCCGTGTAGTTGAAGAGGCTGATGCCGGGCCGGTGGGAGAGCAGGTAGTTGTTCATGGGGGACTCCTCATGGAACAGCGCCCAGGTCTGGTGGGGCAGCCGCGGCAGCGGGGCCTCGTAGGCCCGGAAGTCCGTCCCGTAGAAGATGATGGCTTTGGTGCGCTGGTGCAGCGCCACGCGCCGGCGCCGGGTCACCAGGCAGGAGTGGCGCGCGCAGTCGATGCGCTCCGTGTCCCCCGGGAAGTGCGGGAAGAGGCCCGGGCTCCACCACAGCAGGATGGGCAATTCCCGGTTGCGGCGGGTGTCGCCGTTCCCAGGGCCCCGGTACGAGGCCGCGACCACCGCCCCGAACTCCACCGGGGGCAGGCCGGTGCTGGGCTGGAAAGGGGAGCGGCCGCGGGGCTCGGGCGGCCCCTCTGCGGGCTCCCACTCCCCAGCTGCGAGCGGCCCGGCCACTGCGGCCAGCACCGCCAGCGTCAAGCTCGCTGCAAGGCAACAGCGCGGCCGGGACACCCGGCCCTGCCCGCCGCCCCGAACGCCCATTGCCGGCAGCTCCGCGCGCCCGCCCCTTTGCGAGTTCCTGGCACTCCAGCCTCTCCCTGTGCTGTGGCTAGAGTTGCCAATTGTCCAATCACACAAAGCCAATTCTGGCCCCGCCCCCTTCTCTAAAGGCCCCGCCCCATTCCTTCCATCCCCCACTCCCTCCAGCGCTCGTGCTTCCTCCACCCTAACTCATTTTCACCAGGCTGGAGCAAGTGGTTGGGGTACAAGAGAGGATGCAAGCTCAGGAAAGGGGTTTGGGTTGCTGGTCCAAGAGGTGGCTCAGGACTGGGGCAAGGGGTTCAGTGTGTAAGCTCCAGCCAGGTGGCGCTTACCTGGGGAGTCTCCTGGGTGGTGGCACAGCAGGGCTAAGGCAGGTCCCATACCTGTCCTGGCCCTGCGCCGCTCCTAGAAGCAGCTGGCCCATCGCTGTGGCTCTTAGATGGGGAGGGGCTCCGCCTACTACCACTACCTACAGGCACCGCCCCCGCAGCTCCCATTGGCCGCAGTTCCTGACTAACAGGAGCTGTGGAGCTGGTGCTCAGGGTGGGGGCAGTACACAGAGACTCCCTCCCCCAGGGATGTGCTGACTGCTTCCAGGAGCAGTGTGGGGTTAGGTAGGGAGCCTGACTTAGCCCTGCTGGACTTTTAGCAGCCTAAAATCTCCCACTTGGCTTGTGTAGCCTCTGGGAGATAGAGCCCCATATTGGGAGACTCCCAGCAAAACCAGAAGGGTTGGCAACCTTACCTGGGGTGCGTGCTTAGGCATTAGGGGCAGCCCTACCTTGGTGCCCGTCCCTCCCTCCCGTCTGGCCATGCCGCGTTCAGCAGGTCAGTTGAGCCATCGCTTCCTGAACAGCCTGCAACTCACACTGCCCTGGCACAACAGTGCTGAGGGATGGCCCCTTGCCCCCACAGGATAAGCCCAGCTGGGCCCTGAGAAGCTGGATGTAGGCTTCCCCCCAAATACAGCAGGAGAGATGGGATCCCCTTATAGCCCAGCACAGGCACCATGCTGGTGCCATTCACTCAGCAGCCAGGGACAAATTGCCCATGCCAACGCCGTAACACTAGGAAGCCAGCCAGCCAGCTAGTCCCAACCCAGCCTGCATGCTCAATGGATCCCATGCCAGGCAGTGGCAGCAGGGCTTGCCCTGAGTCTGTGGTTTTTAGTATATCATGGTCTGCCAACCCCAAACCCTTTAATTACTAATCAATGGTCTGTCCAACAGTGATCTGTACTTCCCATAGCTCATGTTATACAGACATCCGTGTAAGAGCATGCTCTGACTATAACATAAGCAAGGAGGTGCCAGTGTTTGGCCCAAGGATATTTCCAAGTGGTCTTAAATTTGCTACTCTGCCTAACGATGTTATTTGTGATGAGCAGGTCATGCTCCACACAGGTGCCGAGGAGGAAAGTACCTTGGGAGTTTACATTTCCCTCCCACCCCTTCTTTGCCTATTGTGCTGCTCCAGAGTTGGGAGTCCCGTCTGACTCTGGCATTGAACTCTCTCAGGAAAATGAGTTTGTCTACCTTAGGTATGGCTGTAAGGACTGCATTGAGAGCTCTATAAAACTGCTCCTGGTGGTCTTCCTCATCATTGATTGTTAGGGCATATGCACTGATGACCCTGGCATATTGGTTGTTGGTGAGCTTAAGCCGAAGAGTCATAGGACGATTGTTGATCCGAATGGGAAGCTCCAAAAGCTGACTTGCAATCTTATTTTTGATGGCAGAGCCAATCCTGTGAATTAGTCTCTCTTCAGGTGGCTTTCCTTTTCAAAAGAAGGTGCAGCCACGTCCATCCTCTTAATTGGCCCTCATCAGTCCAGTGGGTCTCACTCAAGGCTGCAATGTCAATTTTGAGTCTTGCCAGTTCTCTGGCAATTAGAGCAGTTCTTTCTGGACATTCACTGTGCTGAAAGTCCAGAAGGGTGTGGATATTCCAGATAGTGAAATTCATTGTTTTCTCTCTCTCTTGTTTTGGCCATTGAGTTGAGTGATCCCACTGGATGCGGCCATCCAGTCGGAAGCCTGCAGCTCGCTTCACCCCATTGCGCACACACCCAGAGTAAGCAAAAGCAGTACAATGTCAAAGCACTTCAAGACCAAGCCAGCTGTGAGACATTCCAGCAACACCTGTTTGAGAAACTCTCCAACGTGCCTGACAACATCATTGACATTCAAGAGCACTGGGATCAACTTAAAAATACCATTCAGAGTGCATGTGCTGAAACCATAGGATATTCCACTCATCAGCACCAAGACTGATTTGATAAAAACAATGAGAAAATCCTAGCATTAATTCAACAGAAAAGAAATGTATTCTGTAACTGGCAAAATGATTCCTCTAACCAATGAAAACAGAAGGCCTAACACCTGTTCAAAGCCAAAGTCCAAAGGAGGCTACATGATATCAAAAATAAGTGGTGGCAAGAGAAGGCCTCTGAGATCTAGGGTGTGACATTATTGACATGAACTATAACTGTATAGATCATTGTTCCAACCAAGATCCTATAGTTGCACCAAATCTTGTACAAAGGAGGTCAAGTAAGGTGTCTATGAAAAGGTTATGAGTTGCTGGTTATGATTATGCTATCTGCATGCGTTTTTGTGTTTAAAGTTATAAGTATTGGCTCTATATCTGTTTCAAATGTTGGCTCATGGGGTAACTCCCACGAAGTAAATCAGCCAGATATGCCATGTAAGATATCTGCAAAAATTTTATAATTTGCCACTTAAGTTAATCTTGTTTATATGTTTGTATCGCCTTTGTGTTATGAGTTATAGATATGTATGTCTGTATTTCAAACTTGTGCTATGCTTCTGAGCGACACCCCAGCCAGTGTGGTATCAGCACTGCCTAGCCTGATTGATGGCCCATTAAGGACCATCAGCTATACAATTGACCCATTGAGAGAAGGCAGATACACCTTATGACTCAGCCTATGGAGAGACTTCCAAGCCATGTGCTGGGCAGCTTGTATTTGAAACAAAGGAAGCACAGGCGGCATGGCAAGAGACTATAAAAGGCAGCGGCATCTTCTCTATTTGGTCTCCAATCCTGCTTCTGACCTCTGGAGGAACTGTGCTTGAAACTGAAGCTCTGAACAAAGGACTGAATGACCCATCCAAGCTCGGATGTTTGTACTCCAGAGACTTGATTGGTTTAAAATCAGCAGTAATCCCATCAAGCCTGATACAAGCCTGAACTAAGAACTTTGCAATTGTTGTATGTATTTGATTCAATTTAACCAATTTTAACTCTCATCTATATTTCTTTTTATGAATAAACCTTTAGATTCTAAAGGATTGGCAACAGCCTGATTTGTGGGTAAGATCTGACTGGTATATTGACTTGAGTCTGGGGCTTGGTCCTTTAGGATCAGGAGAACCTTTTTTCTTTTATTGGGGTAATGGTTTTCATAAGGAGTGGCACTGGTGGTAATACTGGGAAACTGGTGGTAATACTGGGAAACTGGAGTGCCTGAGGGAATTGCTTGTATGACTTCTAGTTAGCCAGTGGAGTGAAACCGAAGTCCTCGCTGTTTGGCTGGTTTGGTGTGCCTTAGCAGTGAAGGAAACCCAGCCTTGGGCTGTGACTTCCCTGCTCTAAGCAATTTGTCCTGAATTGACTCTCAGTAGCGTCCTGCCAAGGGCCGCTTTGTTACACAGGGTTTCGTAGACCAGGATGGCACGAGAAGCTTCTTTCAAACAACAAAAGCTATATATGGGCCAAGCTCCAAAGGCCCAACCCTCTTATGTTCCCAGGATGGCTCCACCCTCAAGAACAATGCAGCCATTAAACAATGCTGGAAGGAGCACTTTGAGAGCCTACTAAACCATGAATCCAGTCTCTGAAGACACCATCGAGTTTATTCCACAATGTTCAGCAATGGAACACCTTGCTGATCCTCCATCTTCTGAGGAAGTCCGGCATGCCATCACCCAGACAAAAAAAATCACAAGACACCAGGCCCAGACAGCATCCTCAATGAGGTTTTTTAAGCTAGTGGAACAATGCTCCAGCACAAACTTTGCCAACTCAACAAAATCTGGACCTGCAAAGAAATTCCACCTGACTTTAAAAATGCCAATAGTGTTACAATAATCAAGAAAAGTGACAAATCTGTGTGTGGGAACTACAGGAGAGATCCTTGCCCAGATCCTACTAAACCGTCTCCTCTCGCTTGCCAAGGAACTCCTCCCTGAATCACAGTGTGGCTTCAGGCCATCCCGAGGCACAACCGACATGATCTTCGTGGCACGACAGATTCAGAAGTGCAGAGAGCAACACTAGGAACAGTTCATGGCATTCATTGACCTAACCAAGGCCTTTGACTATCAATCTTGATGCCCTATGAAAGGTGCTGTCTAGGTTTGGCTATCCACTGAAATTCATTTCCATAATCAGATTCCTCCATGATGGGATGACTGCCACCACTCTGTGCAACGGCTCAGAGACCGAACCATTCATCATTCACACTGATGTCAAGCAGGGCTGTCATTGCTCCAACACTTCTCCATTTACCTTGCCATGATCCTTCTTCTCATCCGTGACCGCCTTCCTGACAGAATCCTCCTCAATCTCCGACATCTCCAAACAAAATCTAAGATCATGAGAACTGGCATCACTGACCTTCAGTATGCAGATGATGGAGTCATTCTTGCACACACAGAGGCCGACTTGCAAAGCACTCTAAATCTTTTTGCAGATGCCTATCACAGCCTGGGTCTCTCTCTTAACATCGGGAAAATCAAGGTACTCTACCAACCCTCACCTGCACAAACTACACTTTTTACTCCACAAATCACCATCAGTTGAGAACCCTTGGAAAATGTGGACCATTTCCCATACGTTGGCAGCCACGTCTCCCAAACAGCCAGCAGACACAGAAATCGAATACAGGATCCACTGTGCCAGCACATCCTTTGGAAGACTACTCAAATGAGTCTTCAATGATAGGGATTTGCAAACAGGTACCAAGATCTTGGTTTATAAGGCAG